AAAAAAAAAAAAAGGAAACTACCAAGAGAGCGAAAAGACAACCAACAGAATGGGAGAAAATATGTGCAAATCACATACTGACAAGGGATTAATATCCAGAATATATAAAGAACTCCTACAACTCAACAACCCAACTCAAAAATGGGCAAAGGACTCGAATGACATTTCTCCAAAGAAGATACACAAATGGCCAACAAGCACATGGAAAAATGCTGAACATCGTTAGTCTTTATGGAAATGCAAATGGAAACCACAGTGAGGTACCACCAGTTCACATCCATTGGGACAGCTATTATTTACCAAAAAAACCCAAAAAAACTAAAAATAACAAGTGTTAGTGAGTTAGCGGAGAAATTGGAACCCTGGTACATTGCGGAGGGAATGTAAAATGGTACAGCCACTGTGGCAAACAGTTTATTGGTTCCTCAAAAAGTTAAACACAAGAGTTACCACTGGACCTAGTAATTACACTCCTAGGTATACACTTAAAAGAACTAAAATCAGGGACTGAAACAAATTCTTGTACACTCATGTTCATAGCAGCATTGTTCAAAACAGCAAAAAAGTGAAATCAACCCATGTGTCCATCAAAAGACGAACAGATAAACAAAATGTGCTATATACATACACAGAATATTATTCAGCCCTAAAAAGGAAGGAAACTGACACATGCTACAACAGGATGAACCTTGGGGACATTATGTTAAGTGACATAAACCAGTCACAAAAGGACAAATACTGATGATTCCACTCATATGAGGTCCCTAGAGTCATCAAATTCAGAGACAGAAAGCAGATGGTGGGTGCCAGGGGCTGGGGGAGGTGGATGGGAGTTCGTGTTTAATGGGACAGAGTTTCAGTTTGAGCTGATGAAAAATTTTGGAAATAGATAGGGATGATGTTTATACAACACTGTGAATGTAATTAATGCCACTGAATAGTCCACTAAAAGTGGTTAAGGTGGTAAATTTTAAGTTCTGTACATTTTACCACAATTTGAAAAAAGCAGGGGGTTGATTCCCTAGAGTAAGACCATGCACACAACTGTACACTATGGGGCCATGAAAATGGTGTTCTAGAACAGTCTCCCAGAGGGCAGCCCTCAGCACCAGCAGCGCCTGAGGGGTCTGCTAGAGAGCATGTCTCTGGGCCAACCCAGGATGTGCTTCTAGTCCACACTCAAGCAGGAGAACAGCCCACTACAGGAGAATACTTAAAATACAGGGGCCAGCCCAGTGGCGTGGCAGTTAAGCTCACGCGCTCCACTTCTGTGGCCCAGGGTTCGTGGGTTCAGGTCCTGGGGCGGACCTACGCACCACTTATCAAGCCATGCTGTGGCAGCGTCCCACATACAAAATAGAGGAAGACTGGTACAGATGTTAGCTCAGGGACGATGTTCCTCACAAAAAAAAAGACACAGAGAGAGGCTGGGCACTTACATGAAAAAAGGCGGCAGAATATGTACAAAAGGCTCCATTTTTGTAAATATATTCACTTATTTTATAAACGCCCAGAAAGATGCAAAAGGTGGCTAAACTGCAGCTACTGCCCAGAATGAGCAAGGCCCCCACCCAGTGGCCAGGAGAGAGGTGCTGTACAAGTGAGAAAAGCCAGCGACAGTCACCACACCGTGCGGCCCTTCCTGCAGGGCAGGTGCTCCTGAAGGCCACGTCTGCGCTCTGTCTGAGCACGGGGAAGGCTCGGAGGGCCCTGAGCACTTCCTCGGATGGCGTGGAAATGGTGGGTACATTTCTATTGTTTCACCGATAGCAATATACATCTTACTTCTGTTCAATTTTTAGAAGGACGTTAATAAATTAATACTTCTTAGAACTGAAATGAGAAGACTGTCACAGGAATCGCCAGCTTCCCAGCCACACCCTGCCTTGACTCTCGGGTACACGTCAGGCCGCCCCTGACTCCACTGGGCCTCATTCTGCCCCGTAAAGTGCTCACACAGTGCCGGGCTGTCAACACAGCACTGGTGTAGCTAACTCGTGCGAGCGCATCCTTACCTGGCAGAAGGAAAACGTGGCAGACACGACCCCAATCAGGACGTTCAGTGCATCCTTCACCAGCTCACACTCCTTCACCAGGACGGGCTGCGGGGCCTGCAGGAGGCCCCCACCAAGCACCTGCAGCTCCCCTTGGCGGAGCCTGCAGAACCTGTCAAAGGCGTCCCTTCCCGCCTCGGTGAGGTAGGGCTCCTCTCTGTGGCCAGGGGGGCTGTGGGAGACAGAGGAAGGGTGGTGAGCAGACAGTGCGACACGCACCTTAGCTACATGAACAAAAGGCAGGAGAAAGAGTGATTCAGAACAGTAAAATGTCTAAGAAATACAGACCAGGTGTGGGTCACAACCAACCACCCACAAACCACCCAGCCTCTCAGTCAGCATCGGGCAGGCTCGGCACTGGCTGCAATCCATCTCATCAGGACAACTCCGTGCAGAAACATGTCCAGAGGCAGCAGCAAACGCCCCACCCATCCAGCACCCATGGGGCACACAGTGGTCCTCAGGATGACCACTCACTCAAAATGTATCTTTATGTTAAAAACAAGCGCAAAGTTTGCACACCCAGGTTCATAGCAGCATTATTCACAACAGCCCAAAGGCAGAAGCAGCGCAAGTGTCCATCGACACATGAACAGATAAAGAAAATGTGGTCTAGCCACATAATGGAATACTAGCCTTAAAAAGGGAGAAAATTCTGACACATGCTCACAACGTGGATGAACCTTGAAAACATTATGCTGAGTGAAATAAGCCAGTCACAAAATGACAATTACTGTATGATTCCACTTATATGAGGTCACTAGAGTCATCAAACTCATAGAGACAGAAAGTAGATGGTGGGTGCCAGGGGCTGGGGGAGGGGGATGGGGAGCTAGTATTTAATGGGATGGAGTTCCAGTTTGGGAATGAGAAAGTCCTGGAGATGATGATCACACAACAATGTGAATTACTTAATGTCACAATTACTTAATTATCATCCTAAAAATGATTAAGATAACTTTTATGTTATGTATATTTCATCCCCCCTCCCCCCAAAAAAGCACAAAGGACAGACAAAGTCTCACGAATTCTTAGGACAAAACAGGCATGCTGAATCTTGCTGAGGGCGGCTCGGGGCATGGCAGCCTCCAGGAGCTTTCCCTCCAGAGGGCCCTGTGCTGGGGGTTCAGGAACGGCGTCCACCTAGCACAGTCACATCATTCACATGGCCAAAAACCCAGTATCGCTTTTTAAATATTCCTTTGAAAGCCATCAACCCCTACTGAAAAGTATGGAACAACTGTTCTTTTTAAATTCACTGGAGGGGCCAACCCCGTGGCATAGCGGTTAAGTGGGCACTCCGCTGCTGGTGGCCCGGGGTTCGGATCCTGGGTGTGCACCGACACACTGCTTGTCAGGCCATGCTGTGGCAGTGTCCCATATAAAGTGGAGGAAGATGGGCACGGATGTTAGCTCAGGGCCAGTCTTCCTCAGCAAAAAGAGGAGGATGGGCATGGATGTTAGCTCAGGGCTGATCTTCCTCTCACACACACACACACACACACACACACACACACACACTAAATAAATAAATATTAAAAATATTAATTAAAAAATAATAATAATAAATAAATCCACTGGAAAAAGTAATTTCTTAATAAATGAAGCCCAGGGAATACAGAACTTTCTGAAACTTCTGTTCTCATTTTCAACACCTCACCAGCTCCTTCTCCTCCCTGCCAAAAAAACCCTTATTTTTAGATCTAGCAAATGAAAAAGAGTATCATTTATTTTTCAAAAACAAAAGCCGTTTTCTGCGGGGGTAACAGCTGCACACTGTAGGACATTCTAAGATCAGGATGGTGTCTGACCACCCACACGCCTTACCCCACATTAGGCACGATGTACAAGCACAGGACACCTCAGAACTTGTTAAAATCCAAGCGCTTTTTAATTGGCAGTGCACTGTAATGCGCTCCTTCCCTCTTTCAGCAAGTATCTGAGTGCAGGCGGAGCGGCCAGCGGACAAGCCCAGCCCTCACGGGGCAGCGGCTGCAGACAGAAGAAATGAAGGCACTGACTTAGAGCCCAGGACCCGGGCTCAGAGAGGGACCGGAGACTCTGGTCGGGAAGGCCCCGGAGCAGGGCTGAGCTGTGGAGCAGCAATCCTGGCAGAGGAAGAGCCTGTGCAAAAGCCCAGAGATAGGAAGAGGAGGGGCTGGTGAGTGGAGCTCTGCGGCAGGGAGGGTGGGGGCAGACAGGGTGAGGTCCCGGAAGGGTCGGCCCTCATTCCAGACCAGGGGCGGCCATGGAGCATGGCAGGCAGAGCAGTGACGTGATCTGATTTCTGCCCCTGGAAGGTGGCACTGGCCATGTGGAGGAGGGGCTGGGAGCGCAGCAGGAGCAGGGAGGCCGGTCCTGAGGAGGCCAGAGTCAGCAGGTGGCGTGCCGCCAAACCCGGACACCGGCCCATACTCCCTCGGGGCAAGAACAGCGTGATGAAAGGAAAAGCCTCTGAAGCTCCCAAGTCCTTCAAACGCCCCTCAGGACAGGTGTGCATGCCGTGGGTGCCATCCCACTTCACACATGAGCATATACGCACGCACTCTTCCAGCGTCCACCCCTGCACCACCTGGGCCACGTGCGCACCCACCTTTGGTGACTCAGAGCTGAGGGAGACAAGTCCATGGAGGAAAACACCAAATTCACACCTGTCCCAGAGAGCTCAGCCCTTAACAAAACTGCTTCCCCCAGAACGAGTGACAGACTCAGAAACAGCGAGGCCTGCGGCAGGGAGGGGAGCCTTCAGACCGACGCTGGCTCTCAGCGTGACGCTCAGGGGTCTCGAGGCGAGGGCAGAGTTTACAACCCTGGGGCTGCGGGTGGACAGAGGCTCTGCTTCTGGCAGGGCAGCAGCTTCTTAATCGCCCACAGGTCAGAGCTCATGGCCGGAAACTAGCTCGTTGCTGGGGTTTAAACTGAAACAAGTTCAAAAGATTTACCAAATGGACTTGAGAAAAAGGCCTCAGGGGTCAGGGGTCAGTGGGATCACGCTACCACTAGAACAGGCAGAGGAGCAGCCTTGGAGGATGTGCACTCGGGGCTCATGCCCAGGGATGGCATGGGCCTGGCCGGTCTCCCTGCAGAAGCTGCCCATGCTGTGTGCTGCTTGGCACAGGCTAATGCCCCAGGAGTGTTAGCTGCAATCCCCCTCAAAGGAAACACTATGGTGGCGCTCCCCACTGCTGGAGCTTTGTGGTCAGTTCTGCCTTCACAGAACACTCAGGAGATTAAATGCATTCAGAACAGGGGGCAAGGACGGAGACCTGGTGAGCCCTCATGTCTCCTAAACAGTGACCTGAAAAACTAGGCCTAGAAAAGTAGGAGCTAATAAACGAAACACCATCAGCAAATGTTTACAAAAGACAGGGGTAACTTGGTGGGCCAGTTTTAGGCATGTGAGGGGTGAGCAGAGAACAGGACGATTAGATTCATTTTGTACACACAAGACAGAACTAAGACCTAACGGGAAGTCACAGGGCAGAGAAGCCCTGCCAACACCAGTGGTGCTCAGGGAAGCCGGGAGCTGGCCGTCCCTGGAGGAGTCCACGTAGGGTAGACAACCATGCCAGGACGGCTACCCCAGCGGGCAGTGCCCACACACAACAGGCGCTTCGTAAGTGTCTACCCCAGAGCGTGTGCTCATCCGAGGGAGACCCTGCAGGAGCCCAGAGGCTGCATCAGAAGGCACTCAGCTCCCCGCTAATCCCGTTCTTTCATTCACTGCTCCCCAAACTGGTGTTCCACAGAACTGCCAGCAGGTGGGCTGTGACAAAAGGGTCCCATGACCAAACACCTGGAAATGTATGTCATGTGTCCTCTATCCCCATTCTGGAGGTTTCAAGAGACAGCAGCACATCACAGACTCTGGGAGGTCCTGAGTGCAGAGGCCTGTGGGCCGGACAAGCCCAGGGAGCGAGCTGCCGGCACCATCAGGGAAACAGCCATGACTGGAGCCTCTCGTCAGCCAGAGAGCGCCACTCTCAATCCTTCTAGATGCATACAGCAGCATGAAGGCTCTGTCAGCACCCTGAGCCTGGCACTGATCACACAGCCTGCCAGACCGCCCTCAGACCCCTGACCGGGAGCCCTCAGGGCAAGAACGTAACTCAGTTGCCAAGTGACCGTTCTGATGGCAAGTGTGGTTTGCAGAAGTCACTGGCATAGCGGGAGCCCCCAAAAAGCCTGGAAGTCCTTTCCCCTCTGCGTTTCTCTCGACACCCAGGACACAGACCATTTTGTACACTAGCTTGACTGAAACTTCCAAGTTCCTAGCCCCTTCACAGCTGTTCTAGAAACAACCGCCTGGGCTCTCTGAGAAAAGGCCCTGTTCCACGTGGGGGGAAGGGCAGTGTACTGAAAAGCAGAGGCTACCGTACCATCCAACTTGCTCCCAGCACCTCCGCTTGCTGGCCTCGTAGGTGAGCACAGCGTCCCACAGGTCGATGTCTGGAGTCATGCCTGGTTCAGACTGGGAATCAGGAGTTAAATTGGATGCTGACTGGAACCCTTCATCTTCTGACTGATCCACACTCTGAGGAACCTGGAGACCATGGGAAAGAAGGAAATAGCACGTATGCCTGAGTCTAAATGTCCCCCAAGTGTGATCAGAATTCCAGGACTTTTCCACACACGTGTTTACTCCTTACAGGAAAGACCTTGTAGAACGTTTCTATTTTTCTCAAGCAGGTATGTACTACACAATGTTTTTGCCCCCACTGAATCGTTTAAGAAGTTAAACAAATTAATTTATTAAGGTTATCGATTTCCAATTTCACACAACACATAACCCTCAATATAACTTACAATGAAATTTTTCCTGAAATGCCGCCAATCTGGAAATTCCACTTTGGGGAATACAGCACACAAAAAAATCATACTAGACACAGAAAAATTTATACACACCAAGATGTTCACAATAGCATTATTTATGTTTGGAAATAACTAAATATCTCATACTAAGGGAACGACTAATAACAGCGCATCCTTCCAGCAACATTTATAAAGCCACAGAATACAAAAGCCAATCATGATTTATTTAATAATGCAGGCAAAATCCCATTTATAGGTGAAAAAAAGTATATAAAACTGCATGTAGAGAATGAACAAATATTTTTTGCCACATGTGGCTACTGAGCACTTGAAATGTGACTTATGTGACTGAGGAACTAAACTTTATTTCATTTTAATTAACTTAAATTCAAAAGTCAACTCTAGGGCCGGCCCCGTGGCTTAGCGGTTAAGTGCGCGCGCTCCGCTGCTGGCCGCCCAGGGTTCGGATCCCCGGCGCGCACTGACGCACCGCTTCTCCAGCCATGCTGAGGCCGCGTCCCACATACAGCACCTGGAAGGATGTGCAGCTATGACATACAACTATCTACTGGGGCTTTGGGGGAAAAATAAATAAATAAATAAAATTATAAAAAAAAAACAAAAACAAAAGTCAACTCTAGAGGGCAGAGTAAGTGACTAAATACGCCGTGATAGACGAAAGATGAAAAGCAGCCTGCTGTCTTGGTGTACAGGTTGGCAGCAGCGTCGCCACCCAGGAAGGCGCATTCCAGCAGCCCTGCCTCCCCACAGCTCAGCCACAAGTGGCTTGAGAGCTATCCTACCTTTACCATGACCAAAGGAAGGTCAAAGGAGGCATTTCCAAACGCCTGAGGAGCCGGAGGCGGGAAAGCATCACTCTACCTTAATAGCCAGTCCAGAGAGGTCTGCGCTGTCTGGCACCGGGGGCAGGTCCAGGCGGACATCCATGTCGTATGTACGGCTGTGCACAAGGGCACCGAACAGCGAGACCCGGGTGTCTCTCTCAAACCTGTCACCACAAGGGTCACCATACGAGAAGAGCCCAACAGTGGGCAGGCCAGTGCCCGGCGCCGCCTCCATCACCTGAAGCGCTTTGTGGATCATGTCCTGACATAGATACTCCTCTCTGGAGATCAGAGACTGAACGTCCATCTCAAACACACTCAGGTCGTAGAAGTCGTAGCCGCTGTAGGGAACGTTTCTCCCAACGTACTTGTTGTTAAAGAAGTAGTCCCGCTTTCGCGGCAGCACTCGCGGGGGGCCACTCCCTGCCAGCTGAACCAGGAGGTCCAAAACAGAGCCCACCTCCGCAAGCGGACAGCAAGGGCCTGCTTCCAGCTCCTCCACCAGCTCCTCCAAACGGTCAGCCTCGGGGCCCAGGCCACCCACCCTCAAGTCGAAGGACAGCATGAGGATCTTGTTTTTCACCGGGAGTTTTGAGGGGTCAGGCTGCAGCCTCTGCGTCTCATCTTGAAACAGACTGGTGAAGAGAGCGTTGTAGGCCACCCTCTTGAGGCTCTGCTTCGCCCTCCTTCGGCTCACGCCGCGCTGGCCCAAGCGAGCCTTCGCGACCGGCAGGAGGGCCTCGCACAGGTCGTCGAACAGCTGGGTGATGCTGGCCATGCCCACCCTCTCGGCTCCGGGCACCTCGTGCCGCTCGGCGCCCCCTGCCCTGCGGCCGCAGAGCCCGGCTCGGCGCGGTCCCCCGGTCCGGGCCCTCAAGCCGCAGGATCCCGGCGCGGGACGAACCCGAGGACACGCTAGCGTGGGCGCACACGGCACACGTGCGGCTCCGCGGCCTTCCCGTGTCCCCGGGAGGGACGGCGAAGCAGGCGCCGCCCAAGGGGCAGTGGGGGCGGCCGGCAGGGTCCGCGGGGTCAGGCGCACGAGCCCCGCTCACAGCCTCCCGGGAAAAGCGCGCTCCCGCTCCTGCCGCCGCCGTCGCGTCACCGCCACGCGACCGGCCAGACCGTCGGAGCCGGCGCGCCGGAACTGCGTCACCGGGGAGCCGGCGGGGCGCGGAGGGGCAGGGCTGGAGCTGCCGTCCAGGGAGCGCTTCCGGCTGGGAGTCTCGGACCCGCGGCGGGGAAACTGAGGCCGGCGCGGGCTGAATCAAGCAGACGGAGTCAGGCTTTTGCTTAACTATTTATTGCCGGGGCGTGGGGGGGCAGGGCGGGCCGTCCGCGCAGGGCGGCGGGGGCGCCCAGTGGACGCAGGGCCGGTCGGGACACGGCCGCGGGCGAGCCGTGCCGGTGACGGTTAACCGGCCCTGGGGGCCAGGTGGTGGTGTCCGTCCCGGGGTGTAAAGACTTCCACCCCGGCCGACGCCAAGCTCCCAGGTCACAGCACTGGAGGAGGAGCTGGGAAGAGGTGGAGCGTCCCCTGGCACTGCCGTGAGCGGTTCCGGGCAGCACCCCACTACCCAAGGGGCAGTCTCCCCGCAGAGCTCTAAAGCAGGATGTCCCCAAGGCCCCAAGCATCCAGCCTGAGCCTTGCCCCGTAGCCTCACCGGCCACCTGCAGCATTTTCCACTGCGGCCGCAGCTGCCCTCTCAGGTGCTCCAGGGCCTGCATGTCCTCTGGGGAGGCCCTGGAGAAGGGGCCCAGGCTGGGGGGGGCCTCTCCACGGAGCACCCGGACCAGGACCCCTGCAAGCTGGGGTGTGGATTCCTGGGCCAGGGGCAGAGGTGGAAGCAGAGAGTCACTGGTCTCTCCCCACCTCCCACCCCCCAGCATGTCCCCTCTGCCCAACTCACCTCCTCCACCAGTACCAACACTCGGCCCCCTGCTGGTCCCCGCAGCAGTGCAGCCAGGAGTGCAGCTTGGGGGTTCTGCAGGCCATGGGCTGGCCCCAGTGCCACCAGCACCAGGTCAGGCTGGAAGCCATAGGCCAGGGGCAGCACCAGGGCTAGGACACAGCTCAGGAACCCACCAGTTGTCTGTGGGAGGGACAGGAGCATGGCCCCAGCCCCTCATTCAGGGGATACCCCTCCTGCCAGTTCAGGCCACCCCACCTCCCAATCTTTGGTGGGCAACTACACCTGCAGTCCCATCAGGAAGCCAGGAAGGACAGATGAAGCCCAGGGGCCTGGCCCTCATGACGATGCCAGTGAGCAGCAGCTGCCCTGCCCTGTGACATCACCACTCACCTCTGGTAGTGGTATGGAGACGTGGAACATGGACAGGGCAGCTGCCTCCTTGCCCCTGATATTCAGCCATAGATTCCTCCTTCCAGGGAAGAGTGAGCACATGGACACATGTGCATGTGTGTGAGACGCTGCTCACCCTCCAGAACCCAGACTTCAGAAGGGGAGGTAGAGAGCTTGGGGGGGACAGGTGCTAGGACTGCTGACCCTCTATGCTGGAGACTCTCCTGGCATTGCTCCCAAGGGCCCCTCTACCAAATTCTAGCTGTAGAAGACTCCCCCCACCCATCACGCCTGGGGACCCAGGGTCATGTGCCCACTCACAGGCAGGATTGGACATACACATGACCCAGGAGTCATACCCATCATCGGCAAGGTCTAGGGGCCGATCCAGCTGTCCCACAGCCACACAGAGCAGCCTAGAGGAAGAGTCGGCCCCAGGACAGGCTGCACTCACCCCTCCTGGAGTCCATTCCCAGAGCCCTCCCCATGTGGCTAGCCAGGGCAGGAGATGCCCTTGGGCCATTCCCTCAGAGGCTCAGGCTGGCCAGGTGAGGCTCACCTCTGGGCTCCATGAGACAGGCCACACCGAATGGCCACATCCAGGGTGGCAGCTGCAGCAGGGGCCGGGGTGGCTGCGATGCCGCTGCTCACCTGTGGAGTGAATAACAGCAGTGGAGGGCAATTCCCAAAAAGGTAAACAGACCCAAACATCCCTTCTTTGGCCCTTGTCCACGTGGCTGTCATCTGTATACACTGAAGTCAAATTGTTCTACTTTTGAAAATAAGATGTTTAAAACCACACCTTAAGTCACCCCCTTCACCGTTCTGCCAAAGAGTATTTAGTTGAGGGAACTGAGGAGGGGTGCTCAAGAACCCCGTCCCTGGGGGCTATTCTAGAAGGGGTCCTGGGCACAAGGCCACACTCGTGTCGTGGTTCTGCACCACCCAGTCCTCCCCTGGACAGGCCACCCATCACGGGTAGGTCCTGGGCCCTGCCCCTGGCTCCACAGCCACCCCCGCCCCTCCCAGGTGCCCCTACCTGCCCATCCAGGATCCCATCCAAGAGATACAGGACCTTCCCGAGTGCAGTGAGGGCCTTGTCCTGGGCCAAGGCCTCATGTGGCCTGTGGTGGGCAAACCAGAGGGACACATGGATATAGGGTGACACAGAGACCACAGGTGAGTCACACACAGGCATATGGGTGGACACAGCCCCACCCCTCTCCCCAGGCCCACTCTGCCCACCTGGCCCAGACCTGCGTCTCCTCCTGTGGGGCTGACCCCTCCTGATGGAGGACATCAGGGGGCAGGAGCAGTGCTGCATCCAGCGCAGTCAGGGCAACAGCTGTGCGGACGGAGGGCGTGGGGTGGAGGCGCAGCTGGTCCAGGAGGGAGCTCAATGCAGCCACGGCCTGGGCTGCTGCTGCCTTGAATTCGGGCCCGCCAGGCAACAGAGGTGAGAGCCTCCCCTCTGGGGAGCCGGTGCTGGGACTCAGTACAGGGGCCACATCTAGAGGTGGTTCAGAGTTACTGCCACTTACTGGGAGCCGGAGGTGTGATCCCACCTCCCAGCCCAGGCCACAATGACCTTGCTCCTGGAGGCTCATCCAGTGAGGAGCCTGGGCTGCCCGGACACTCTGGATGGACTCCAGGGCGCTGCAGGGACAGGCAGGAGTAGTGAGGCCTGGCCTCATGCCCCCAGCCCTTCCCACCCTCCTGCCCCTCGCACCTGCGATGCGGCTCCATGCACCCTGACAGGGGTGGGACAGGGTCACCCAGCAGTGCCTGTACCATCATGCACACCGACTGAGAGAGCGACTCCAGGTGGTAGCCACCCTGGAAGGTGGAGGAGGGCAGAGATGTGACTGGGGAAGGGGGTCATTGGGGCAGGATGTTGCCATCCCAGGCAGGACGCCATACCCATGCAGCAGACCCCCTCTGACTGCTCCTCAGCCTCTGGCCCGTGCACCCTCCCTGCTCGCCGCAGTCACCTCCAGCACGGCACAGACCCGGCCGCCAGCCAGCACCTGCAGCAGCTGCGTGAGGTGGGCAAAGCACTCTGGCGTGGCCTGCATCTGCCCCTGGAATCAGAGCCAGTGTGAAGGGGGCCTGGCCCGGGACCCCAGGAGCCCTCCCCAGCCAGGCTAGGCCCTCACCTCGGGATCCCCAACCGCTGAGTCAAATCCTGCTGCGACTAGCACCAGCTCAGGGTCAAACTGTGGGCAGGGCCAGTGGAGAGGAGCAGGAAAGAGGCTGGAGCAGGGACAGAGGAGGCCCCTCCAGAGAGACCCTCCCCACCCACCTGGGCTTTGTTCCACTCTGATGGAGTTGACAGGACTCTGGGCACCGAATACCCCCTCCCACCCTCCTGCCATCGAGACCACCCCAACGCCCCACGCAGTCACCTCAAAGGCCAGGGGGAGCAGCACGTGCAGGAAGGCAGCCACGTAGTCAGCATTTCCCATCCCAACCTGCGGCCACAGGGTGTCAGTGTCGGGCCTCGCCAGGGGGATGTGGGGTCTTCACCCCTGGGGCCTGGCCTCTGGGGGTGACCCTGGCAGGATGCCTGGGCTCCACTCAGGAGGCCCGGAGCTGTGGGGCAGGGGAGGTGAACTGGGGGAGGGGCACGCACCTGGTTCCAGGGCAGGTTGACAGTGAAGCCGCGGCCCTGCCCCTGCCCGACAGCATCTGCATCTGATTCGCGCAGACAGGGCCAGAAGCGCCCGTGTTCGTAGCGGTGCCAGGAGAAGTAAAGGACGCTATGACAGCCAGCCGGGGTCAGAGGTCAGAGATCAGGACCCTTAGCTCCACAGCTCCTCAAAGAACCCTGATCCCTAAGCACACGGCCATGTCTCCCCCATCAGATTTTCTGAGACCAGGCTGAGCACTCCAAAGAGTTGAGTCGCATGGAAGGGTCTTGTCCCCATCCCTAGCTCACCTGGGGTCGTCCTCAAAGATATACTGGATGCCCTGGCCATGGTGGATGTCCCAGTCGACAATGAGGATCCTGGGGACAGACAGCGCTGGGGTCACTGAGGGGTGGGGCCTCCCACCTCCAGGCCAGGAGCCTGGCACAGGATGGGAAGGGGCTGGGTGGGGTCTCCTAGCAGCCGCTCCACCCTCTTCCTCTCTGGCCTGGCCCCTGCCCTGCAGCCAGCCCCCACACACCTGTGCAGCCCGTGTTTCTGCTTGGCATGTTTGGCTGCTATTGCCACATTGTTGAACACGCAGAATCCGTTGGCGGCGGCCCTCTGGCTGTGGTGCCCAGGAGGCCTGGGGGTGAGTGGGGTGCAGGAAACGTCAGGGTCATTCTGTGCCCTCACAGGCCACCCACGGGTCGGGGCGGCCAGGGGACGGGGACAGCTCTCACCTCACCAGGGCGAGCCCGTTGTGCACAGCTCCAGTCAGCACAGCGTCCACCAGCTGCAGCGCAGCCCCTGCGGCCAGCCGAGCACAGTGGAAGGTGTTCTGTGGGGGTGGGGGTGCAAGTGAGTCCCTGCCTGCTACCCTCACAGGCTCTGCCCAGGCCTGTGCCAAGCTACAGGACACCAAGCGCTGAGCAGAACAGGCTACACTATCCTAGGTGCCAGCAGCGTCAGCCGGCGGGTGTACAGGGCGTTGGCACGTTCAGGAGCACAGGGACACTGGCGGGGTCGGCAGCCATGGCCGAGAACAGGCATAGGCATGCAGATGTGTCTGGGTGGGAGTGTCCCCGGGGCACGAACCGGATGGAAGTAGATGGCATCATACTGTCCAGACAGCGCCTGGAGCTCCCTGGTGCCCAAGGCCTGGGTCCCCCGCAACATGGCCACGTACTCCGGGCTGCAGAGGGGCAGGCAGGCCAGGCAGGGGTCACCAGAGGGAGGGGAGGGAGAAGAAGGGGCTGGACCCCTGGTGGGACTGCCCACCTCACTGCTCCCTCACCCCCCCCACCCGGTGGGGAAACAGGCACGGGTTGAGGGGGAGAGGCTCTGTTTCAGAGGCAGTGGCAGGCTGGGGCCTGCCAGGTCTTAAGCAGCCTACTCCAGGGCGCGTGGCCTGCCACGCGGGGTCTGACCTGTGCACCAGGCCCAGCTCCTCCTCCGAGGCCTCTCTGGCGGCCAACCGTAGACACCTCTGCTCTAGGCCACGCTGCTGCAGGCTTTCCAGGGCTGTAGTCAGGCGCTCAGGACACTCGATCTCACACTCTGGGCTGCGTGGACAGAGAGCTTGGAGTCCAGAGCCCCCTCCCCATCCCCTGCCTCTGCCAAGTCACACTTACTCGTCCCAGAGCAGCCGGGCGGCCGTCATGTCCTCGTGGTACACAAGCGCGGTCCCCATGGCCCGGCCACCCGGGGTGGGCGGAACCCAAACGCCGCCACTCCCAGGTGAGCGCACGGCCGGTCCCCACCCTGCAGCCCCAGCGAGCAGCCCAACGCCCGGGCCAAGCGGGGGCAGCGGGCACCGAGCCTGAGCAGGTACACGCAGCCGGCGCCGGAGCGAGGCCGGGGTGGCAAGGTGGCTTCCGGCTTCCTCCGACTCGCACCCGGTACCGTCCCGCCTGCGCCGCCCAAACCCCGCCCCGAAGCGCAGCCGACGAGAGCAGGGCGGGCGGGACGGCTGGGCCCCTCTGGGCTCCTCCTCGCCGCCGCGTCCCGCCTCCGGCCCGGCTCTCCTCCCGCCCTCGGCACTCCCCTCACCGCCAGCCCCCTCCCCCGGGCCCGGCCCTCCTCCCCCCCAGCCCTCCCTCCTCTCCCCCGGGCCCAGTCTTCTCCCCTCACCCCCAGCGCCCTCCCCTGGCCGCTCTAGCTGCGGCTCCACCTCCTGCTCTGGCCGGGAACCGGGGGCAGGTGGCCGGCCTTGGTTCCCCTCCAGAGATGGGAGGGAACGGGTGTGAAGGCCGAGGGCCGGTGTGCCCGGGACCTCCGTGGGCTGTCACGGCGCCCCACCTGCGTGCACTGGACCGAGCCCTGCCATCCGCCCGTATTCCGCCCCAAACCTCCCCAGGCCCACCCTCACCGCGCAGGCCAGCGGCTCCGACGCGTCAGCTCATCGCGTCCAGCGCTGCCTCAGGCCCACCCCACCAGGCTACGCGAAGGCCTGCGAGGGGAGGAGGGCGGAGGCCGAGGGTCCGCAGGGGCAAGGCCGTGAGGCAGGAGAAAGCCCCGCCCAGGGGCGGTGGTCGTGGCTCAGCCCGGCCTGGGCTGCACCGACCGCAGCTCTGTCCCCAAGACTTAAGACGGGAGTGACAGTGTCTAAGCTCCCGAAAGACCTCTGGCCGAAGAGAGGACGAGTCGGAGGGTCAGGGTCGTGGCATAGAAGCTGGGCAGGAGCCGCCGCAGGGTAGGGCGAGGCAGGCAGGCGGGAAAAGCGACCAGTGAGGGAGGGCCTGGGCGAGGGATGAGTGAATGAACGAATGAACGAGTGGATAAGCGAGACCAGCAAGGGAGGAAGCGCGCGCACGGCCACAAAGCAAGATGGCCAGGGAGGAGGAAACCGGGAGCCGCAGCCTGAAACCCGGGGACTCTGGGACAGATCCCTGGTAGCGGGCGTGGGCGTGAGACGGGGGCGGGGCCACGGGCGGGGCCCTGGGTCTCGCCCCTGAGCCAATCACGGTGGCTTGGGGATGGCGTGCTCTGATTGGCCATGCTGGGACACGTGGCCACGAGGGGCGGGGCCTGTGGAGGGCCGCCCCGCCTGGATGCGAAGCGCGGATGGTCCGGCAGAGGTCGGCCCCGGAGGACTGGAGAACCCCTGGACAGAGCAGGCTGGTGTCCACTGTGGCAACTCGTCTGACCGTATTTGGCTGGGCCAATATGCGCATGTCCAGCCAAATTCCAAGCCAGGAGAAGGGGACAACGTGGCCCCGCCTTGGGCTCACCTGCTCGGGAGACAGGTGGGAGGAGCCAAGAAGGCCGCAGGACCCCAGAGAGCCCCTGAGCCCGCTGCCCGCCCTCGGAGACATCAAATGGCCGGCCCGGGGCTGCGCGGGCTAGACGACGGTGCGGGTGCGTGGCCAGAGGAGGGGCAGGCAGCTTGGAAAAAAAACAATTCACACTTCTGCTATGCCACTCGCGCAGACAGGCCTGGCGTGAGCCCTCCTCGGGACCCTGGCCTTGGAGAGTGAAGGGAGCCCAGACAGCTGGGACTAAGCCCCAGGTTGGACGCTAACTCCGCCCCCATGAGGCCCTGCCCTGGGTCTGGTTTCAGGATCTAAGCCATTAGAGGGAAGTCACCCCATAAGAGGGGCGGGAGCCAAGCCCTAATGTGGGGGCTCCAGGCTCCGACCTCAATGGCACAAGACAGGGGGAGCTGGGCACCAGCTTTGTGACCTAGGAGGGAGGGGGGTGCCCAGGCCCAGGGGCTCAGGAGGGGCTAAGGCTCCCAGACAGGCCTCTTTTCTCTGTGCAAGGCTGCAGATCAGAGGCCTAAAGGTGGAGATCCAGCCCAAGAATCAGAGCAAAGCCAGAGTGGGAGCTCTACAAAAGGGTCTATTTCCTTCCAGCCATGTGGGCGTGCCACATGGCCAGTTTACATTCCCGGCTGGCAGTGCAGCAGAATCCACACCACCGCCCCCCAGGAGAGATGTCCCTGAGTCAGCGCCCTGCGCCCTCCCTGTTCTTCCTTCTCAGCAACATGAGCTGGGCCTCAGCACGGTCCAGAGCAGGCAGGGTCAGAAGCCAGGCCCAGGTCAGGTGGGCCTCCTGTCCAGAAAGTCCAGATGCTCCTCCAAGGTTAGGCTGAGGTGGGGGCCTGAGAGCAGGGGAACAGGCTGGGGGGAGGGGATCCATGGATTGAGGAGTTTCCTGGGATGCAAGCCCTAGCAACAGTCACAGTGGTAACCAGGATCCCCTGCCAGGTGGAAGACCCAGCCAGGGTCCTCAAGGTGTCCCCGCTGCCACCCTCAGGGCCCAGGGCTCTTCACAGGGCTGTCTCCTTGGAGACCTTGGCTCCCAGCTGCCGGGGAGGCTTGAAGCTGAGGACCTCTTTATATGTGACACCTGGGGTGGGGTGAGAGCGACAGAGATGGAGAGTCATGGGAGGAGGGGCCGGGTCACACAACCAGAATCAGCTCCCACAGCACACCAAGGGCAGACGCCAGCAGCCTGAGACGAGCACTGGGCCCAGCTCACTGGTGCTTGCCCTGACAAGTGATGAGTCCTGTGATACCCCACTCAGGATGGAGGTGGGGAGAGCTCCCAGGCCCAGAGCACAGGCTGTTAGCCACTGACCTGCCCCCAAAAACACCAGGGTCAGAGGTCACTGCTGAGGTGCAGGTGCCAGGCAGGCTCCTTTTGTCCCACACATGCAACTTCATCGCAGACCAGAGCCACTCTCAGCCAGCCCATGTCCGTCCACAGGGACTGTCCACCCTGACAGGGCTGCTGTAACCCAAACCCACTGCCCCTAGAGTGGCTAGGCAGGCCTTGGCCCCACAGGCTGTCTCAGTAAGCAGGGACATCCTAGGAATGTAAACGCACGTGTTTACTCAAGTGGACTGCTCAGGGTCCCACCAGGACATACCCGTTTCTAGATCCAGAACATCCATGAAGACTTAAATGAGAGGGATTCCCACCAACTATCCACAGCGTCCACATTCCTCGCCTGGTGGACATGTTCCCTGAACGGTGGGCCCAGAGCGAGCCATCCCAAAGGAAGGGAAGGGACCTGCTCCGCCTCCCCTGACCAGTCTGCAAAGAACAGGCTCCACTGGGCCTCGCCAGCATCCCATGCTCACCTGGGCAGTGGAGCACCTGTCTGGGGACACGGGTACTCCACAAGCCAGTTCAGGAAACACTACGCATTTAGAGCAGGTGGTGTGTGTAGTGTGCCCTGCATGGGGTGTAGTGTATTCCCACCCCATGGGGTGCCTTCTAGGCCCTTCATCTAATCCCAACACAGGGGCCAGTCCACACAGGGAAGGTATGTGTGAAGAGGCCACTGCTGCAAGGCTGGCTTTTCCTGGGGAAACAGGAAGTGCTGAGTTCACATTCCTCACCAGGGCTCAGCCATCAGCAGACCACCTGTCCACCATGGTCTGCAGTAAAAGCAAAAGCTCTCACCACAGTTGTGTGGGCGGGAACCACAGAGAAGATCCTGTGGCTTGTGGTTTTCGAGTTATCTTTTTTAGCAGCAGAAAACTTTCATCAAACCAAACCAAACTTATAAGCACAAAACACAGCACAGACAAGGGTGGAGCCCCTGCTGGAGGCACCAAGGCACCCGGGGGCCCTAAGGAACATGGTTGGAGAACCACAACCCAGCCCCCACCCCTCCCCACAGGACCAAAGCCCTGGGTCTGAGGCAGAGCCAGGACGGGGCCCAGGACACAGCGGCAGCCATATGCCACGGCCCCAACAGTGCTAACTGCTGCCTTCACACATCCCTGTCCCCCCAGGCTGGTCCTGCAGCCACCGAGAGAAAGACACCAAGCCCAGCCCTCGTGGCCTGCCATTCTGGAGTGGACACAGATGAGGCTAGTTCCAGAGGGAGGCCTCAGGACCGGGTAGGCCCTGAGCCCAGCCTAAGGCCAAGCAGGTGTTGATTGGCCCTCAAAGATGAGGGCAGGGGCCCTTGGTGTAAGGGGACAGCCATCTGAACTGCTCAGTGGGGCTGAAGGGGACAGGCAAGGGGTGGGGGGTGGGAGGCACTGTGGGCTGCCTGGGGTGGACCTTATCCTGCCAGCAGGACATAAGGGGTATGCAGTTGTTCAGGTGGGTGGGTCCTGAAAGGGGCAAGGGGAGGTGAGGACAAGTCTGAGGTGTGAGTAGAGGCCTGGGGGGCGAGAGGTGTGGAGGGGCTCCAAGGTGGCCAGGGGCTCTGGCCTGGACGTGGGGAGGCTGGGCAGCACTGGGGCGGGGCCAGCAGGTCTGGGGCCGGGAGCTGCCTCCCCACGATTTCCAGAACTTATCTCCTGCTCCTGTGTGTGCCGAGCCTTTCAGGAACACCCTCCCTTTCATCCTTCAGCCCCAGCCAGAGGCCACCTCAGCCAGGAAGCCCCACTGCCCTCTCTCTGACCTCCTGTCGTGTTTCTCACCTGACCTGCATCCCGGGGTGGGGGTACCCAGGGCTCTGAGCCTGGCCACCTGCACGGGGTCGGGGGCCCAGCACAGGCCCTGCCCAGAGCACCCACTCACGCTTCCACTCGTCCAGCGTGCGGTCCATGTCATCAAAGGACTCGTCGTACTTCTGGGCCTTGGGTTCGTCCTCCGTGTCCTGCAGCGACTCGAAGTAGGGGTGGGTCAGCGCCTCGGCCGCCGTCACCCGCCGCTCCGCATCCAGCACCAGCATTCTCTCCAGGAGGCTCACGGCTGGGGGGACAGCAGGTCAGGTGAGACCAAGGAGAGGGCCCCACGCCCCCGAGCCCTGGTCATGGACCCCGCACTCCCCCCAGTCCAGCCCTACCCAGAGGGCTTGCATTGGTCAGGATGGAGGCAAAATCCTTCTTCTCCAACTCAGGGAGGCCCTTCATGTAGTTCTTTGCCTGTGCGGGAAGAAAGGGTGAGGGACCTGCCCCCAAACCCAGACCGGCCCCTCCAGCCCACCCTCGGCTCCTGACTGACTTCATCACTCTGCAGCCTCTGCACAAACTCAGCAGGAGGCGTCCCCGTCACCTTCATGATCTCCTTCAGCTGGTCCAGGTCTGCAGCAAGGTCAGGAGCACAGCAGGGGCCAGAGAGCAGAGTTCACCCGCCCCCCAGCCTGCTCCCCAAGGTGTAGGATACGATCGTTGCCCTTGAACAGCGTCTTCCCCGTGATCATCTCTGCCATGATGCAGCCCACCGACCAGATGTCCACTGAGACAGAAGCCCCCACATCAGGGCTCTGTGGGCAGGGGAGGGTGGGGGGTGGGGGAACACACACACACAGGGGTTCGGGGGGATGGAAATGGACACAGGACATCTAGCCTGCCCCGTCCTCGCCTGGCTCCCATCCCAACTCAGGAGCCTCCCTGCGGAGCAGCCACCATGGGCCTTCCTTTGAAGAAATAGGGAGGCTGGCACAGTGGTGGCCCTGAGACTCTAGGCAGTTTCTCACCTGTCTGTGTGTAGTGCATCCAATTCAAGATGACCTCAGGTGCCCGGTACCACCGGGTTACCACGTATCCGGTCATCTCGCTGTCTGCCTGCCTGGCCAGGCCAAAGTCCAAGATCTGCAGCCAGAATCAGGAAGGTGGGGTAAAGGGGCCCCCAGGGAGTGGGTGGGCCAGGGCCTCCTGCCAGCCCTCCAGGGCCTGAGGTCATGGCCAGGGATGCCCAAGCCTCTGCCAGGATTCCTCCCCACAGCCAGTGCACCCAGCCCGCCAACCTTGCCTTCCCCCCACTCTTAGGAGCAGGTACCCCAGGGGGTCTCCTCTTCCTGCTCCTCCACTCTCCACTGACCCCCAGGACCTGGCCAGCACCTTTGGGGAGGCCATCTCGATCCTGCCCTGATCAGGCATGGGGGACTGGGGACACATCCCACCCTTCCCTTCAAGCAGGGATGGGAGTGTGCTCGATGCGCCCCATCAAGTGCCTCCCCAGGGCCCATCTGCCTATCCGCTGCTCGACCACTGCCTGGATGGCTGGGGTCTGGTCTCTCTGCCTGGGCCTGGGCCTGGGCCAGCCCTCCTGCAGGCCTGAGGGCTAAGGATGCAGCAGGCAAACGGGCAGGTGGGAAAGGAACCCGAGTCCCCGCACCTGACACGCACCTTCAGCTCACAGTCCTCGTTCACTGCCAGGTTGCCAGGCTTCAGGTCCTGGGCAGAGGGAAGGTGGCCATGTGGTCCTGCCCACCAGGGTGTACAAGAGCCAGAGCCTGCACAGCAGCTGGATGTGGGAGCAGCCACACTCGGCCGGCCTATGCCTGCAGCCCTTCTCATAAGGGTGGAGGTGCCTGGGCCCCCCAAGGCTGTGTGCAGGTGTGGTGCACACTCCCCACTGGACCCCATCATGCTCCCTTACAGGGGAGAAATGGAGGCTCCTAGGGGTCGAGCCCCTCGCACACCCACACAGCCAGGACTCACCCTATGGATGACACCAGCAGCATGGATATACTGTGGGGAGAGAGAGAGGGTCAGCAGAGGTCAACTTACTGGGACCTCAGAGCCCCAGCCCAGCCTGGAGGGGCTCTGCCTGCTCCTGCGGCTTGCCCCCCGCACACATGTCCCCACCTTCAGCCCCTTCAACATCTGGTAAACGAGGAACTGGATCCGGTCCTCACTCAGCTTCTCATGCTTCATCAGCTTGCCCAGGTCCGTGCCCATGAACGGCATCACCAGGTAGCTGCAGGGGTCAGGGCGGGGTGCAGACAGTGGGGATCACACCTACTGGGCCTGGGCCCAGGCCCAGACCCCGGGAGGCCCCGTCACCCACAGCACCAGGCCTCCACCTCCCACGTTGCCACCGCAGGCTCCACCCACCTCCAAGGAGTACCCGCGGCTCCTTCTACCCACCCGCCCTCCCCAGAATGTCAGGCGGGTAGAGGGAAGTCAGAGCAGCGGTGGGGCCAGTGGGACATTTGGGTCAGAGGGGCAGGCTGGGCAGGCGGAGGGAGAGAGACAGAGGGGAGAGATACTTAGCACCCCGCCAGGACACTGAAGCCAGTATGGTCCTCGACCTCTGCAAGGTCGGACGGCAGGAGCCTGGCCTCCCCAGCCCTTCCCAGCCCAGCCCCTGGCTCTTGGCTGACAACAGTGTGAGTCCAGAGGGGGCTGCCTGGGCAGCCACAGGGCAGGCTCAGCAGGGGCAGAGGGTCCTCCCTGCCACCCCTCCCTGCCTGCCAGCGAAGGCCAGCAGCTCCAGTTACACGTCACATACTCGGTGCCAGGGTCCCAGAGCACAGGACCTGCGGGCCAGCAAACACTCAGGCCCAAGGTTCGCACCTCCAGCACTGGGGAGGGCCCAGGGCCAAGCGTGGCAGGAGGCCCAGGCTCCACCCGGATGTGCCAGCGCCGTGGGTCCAGGGGCACGTGGCAGGTGGGTGGAATGTGCTGTAGGGAGGGGGTGGGCAGGGTGCATCCCGACCCCCATCCAGGCTGCAGGGAGAGACCTGTCTCAAGTGGGTCCCCACACCAACCCAGAACACCCAGGAGCCACCCAACAGTGCTCTGCCCTGCCCACCAGCCCCGGCCAGCACTCACAAGTCTGTGAAGTCATCCAGGGTCTCGTCAGGAGTGAACACGTCCAGCAGCCCAATCACCTGGGGAGGGGCCGGAGCACCAAGTGGGATAGGGACACAGCGGAGGGCGCGGGAGCTCGAATACACCTCTGAGGCTGATACGGTGCTCAGGCAGGAAAGCCCCCTGCAGCTGTACCCGTCTCCCCCTACTGCCTGGCTCTGCCCACTGGCAGCACGACCCGGCCTGGCACACATGCCCACAGACACAGGCTATTTTTGGATGGTGACAGCTGGGATCCTCTGGGGGAGGGGCAGCCCCAAGTCTGGGTCAGCTTCCAGCCGTCCAAGGAGCTCCAGCCCCTTGACCCTTCCTCCCCCTTTTCCTGTCCTCCTTGAAGACCCAGGATCAGGGTGGGGACAGCCCCTTGGGGGAGAGCTAGAATCTGGCAGGTTCTTCCTTTGCTGGAGAGGCCCAGGAGGGCAGCACTATGACCAAACCCCTGACCCCAGAGACCCCTGGTCAAAGGTGATGGACAGCAGACAGGTAATATGACAACTGGCCCCAGGGCTCAGAGTGACAGGGCCTCCAGGAACCCAGGGAGGCCTTCACATCCGAGCAGTTGGCAGGGGGGACACCTGGCAGAGGTCATGTGGATGGTGGCCGAGGCAGGAGGGAGAACACTTCGAGCGTTTGAGGAACATGGGGAGGGAGGCCAGGTGGCCGAGGCCCAGGCCAGGGAGTAGCCAAGGAGAGGCCAGAGGAAGCCGGAGGAGGCCCTCACAGCCAGGTGAGGCTTGGCTTCCATCCTAAGAGCCACCGAGGAAGGGTTTAAACAGGCATGATACTGAATGTGTCTCCCTGGCTGCTGTGTGGGGGCAGACCGGAGTGAGGTAAGAGTGAACATGAGGTGGAGGAACAGCTAGATGACCATTGCAGCCACTGGGGCCAGAGCCATGGGCAGCAGGGAAGGAGAGAACAGAGCAGGACATCCAGAGAGGGGCCTGGGGCACTGGGAGGGTATTGTAGCAAGAGGGAGGAGAACAGAGGACCAGATCCCCGAGATTCAGGGGATTGTCAGGTTGACGGAGACTTCTGTGCCTCTGCGGTGCAGATCGCAGCAGAAGTAGGGGAGAAGGAGAGGGAGAGGCTTGAAGCGGAGGGCGGAAGGGGCAGGACTAGAGCACGTGGCAGCTGCTCCACAGCCTCTCAGAGCCTGTTTCCTCCCAAGGAAATGGGTTCACAATAGGCCAGCCTCCCAGCTTGTGTGCCTCCCAGGGGTGCCTGGAGGCGGCAGTGCTGGGTGCTGGCGGGTGAGGAGCTGGATGGGGATGGTAGGACCCACCGCACAGTGGGGTGGCCCCAGCACAGGCTGGGGGGCAGGCCCCAGGAGGGGGCTGGGCCAGATCAGGGGTGGGAAGCAACTGAACAGAAGGCCCAAAGACCCTGCTGGATAAGAAGGGTGGGTGGGTGGGAGTGAGGGGCAGTAAGGGAGAAACCGGGTGAAGCCTGTCTGCCCTCACGGGGACAGGCCTGGGTGTGACCAGGAGGTAGTGAGGCCCAGGCTGGGCTGGGGTCCACCATGAATGGATTTCACCTGGGAAGAGATAAGGGCGGAGACCGGCAGGCTGAGAGAATGAAGAGCCAGCCAGGGGCTAATAGGGTGGGCACGGGCATCAGCCAGGAACCAAGGGGACAAGTTTCCGGCTGGACACAAGGACTCATTCCCTCCAGGGAGTGCTGGCGGCTCTGATGACCCGGGAGGAGTCAGACCACCTGTGGGTGCCCAGACCACCATGCCTCAGACTGGGCCCAGAAGTGGGGTGAGACAGGAGTGGCTTCTGTGGGAGGGGGCAGAGGTCATGGCCGCAGGAGGATTGCATCAAGAAACAACAGGAGCTCCCCTGGCGGAGAGAAGGGCTCTTAGCAGCCAGCAACAGCCACGAAAGAGGTCCATGGCAGCTGTGTCCCACGGGCAGGTGTGGAAACAACTGGTGAGCGCCCAGATCTGTCCCTTCCCCACTGTCCGTGAAGCCCCCATGGACATGAAGCAAGCGTCTCTGCACCCAGTGCCCTCCACACATCAACTCTCTAAACCCTTTCACCACCCCAGACCCCAAGGCTCCGAGGTGACAGCCAGGATGCTGACTCCAACACTATGCCTGCTCTGTGTTCCCAGGGCCCCAACTCCTAGGGCTGAGGCTCAGGAGGTAGACTGGAGCAGAGTGGGTTCAGGAGGGGCTGGACCGGCTGGAGAAGGGGGCCTGCGGTCGGGCAGCGGGGAAGAGGATAAGTGCCCCTTCCAGGAAAATCGCTCCTCTCCCTGGAGCGTCCTCTAACCTCAGGCTCCTGGCTGGAGGCAGCGTTTGGGTGAGACATGGATGATCCGCCTGGGCAAGTGGCCGGCCCCTGACCAGAGCCTGGGCTTAGGAGCCAGATGCGGCCCCAGGAGGAAGCCAAGGAGCTAAGTCCTGCCCAGGGACTGGCCTAGGAGGAGAGGACCAAGCCCTGGGGCAGCAGTCTCCCTCAGAGGAGGGTCTCTGCCCTCACCAACTGGAGCCGCCCACCCTTCTCGGGGACAGTGCCCTGACACCCGCCCCACGGCACAGGGGGACGCCTAGGGGCCGGGGAGGAGGGCGACGAGCGGCGCCGACGGACGCGGCGTCCTGAGCCCAGCACCCCGCGCGACTCACGTTCTCGTGGCGCATGTGCTTGAGGAGGCGCAGCTCGCGGTAGGCGCGCTTGGCGAACAGCACGGACTGGAAGGGCCGGTACAGCTTCTTGATGGCCACCTTGGCGCCCGTGCGGCTGTCCACGGCCGAGCTGCGGGACGCACCGCTTAGCGGTGGGAGGGAGGGAGGGCCGGGTCACCCCGCCCAGCCACCCGCGCGGCCTGCGCTCACCACACGGCGCCGTAGGCACCCGAGCCCACGGGCTGCAGGTCCTGGTACACCGCGCGCACCTCCCAGGCCGTCTTAGTCACCTCTTGGCGGTAAAAGCCCCTGCGGGCGGGTGGCGGAGAGCTCATGGCGGCCCGGGCACCGCGCCCCGGGACCAGGAACCGGGATCGGCGGGCTCCCTGGGCGCGCGCCGCGGGCCACCGCGCGGGAGAGCCGGTTCCACGCCGCCCGCCCGCCGCCGCCGCCGGGCACTGCCGCTCCCGGCTCTTCCCTCCGGGTCGCCGTCCTCCAGGCTCTCCCGTCCCGCCGACCCCGGCCCGACCCAGCCCCAGACCGCGTAGCGCGCGGCCCCTCCCCTGCCTGCGGACCAACCGGCCCCCGGGCCGCGCGCACGTGACGCCCCCGCCCGCCCTCGGCCCCTCCGGAAACCCGAGGCGGCTGTGGCCCGGGAGCACCCGAGACTGGGGGGAGGGGACGGAGGGGGAGGGAGCGCCGCCCCGAAGCTCAGTCCCAGCCTGGAACCGGACCCGACGGGGTGTCGGAGACCCCCGGCTCGCCCCCGCACTCAGGCTGAACCCCCGGGCCCGCGTCGGGGGTGTCTTAGCTTGGGGCTCCTGTCTCCTCCTCACTAACCATGCCCCCAGAGCGCTGGGCCCATCTTGGGCAGCCTGAGGCCGTCGGACTTCTATCCCCAGCCCTACGCCACTGTCCGGCAGCCCGCCAACTTCCACCCCCCCACACCTGAGCGCCCCCCACCCCCGCCTGATCCATCCATTCCCCAGTGTGAGGTCCCCAGCACCTGTGGGGTCCGTATGGGAGAGCTCGTTCTGTCTCCCAAACTTAGGCTGCATCCCCAACACCCCTCCCTGTGACCACAGACCCCAGGCCTCCCAACCCCAGGGAGCCAGAGAAGGTGGTCCTGTAGGTCCCCCTTGGGCCCTGTGCACCCCAGCTCCCTTCTCTCCCCCTACTTGGCATGTGGGGAGCCTGCTGCGAGCATTCGCAAGTCCCTCTGCGCGTCCCAGCCCCTGCCCAGCTTATTCCCTCCTGTTTGTCCTTCAAAGCCCAGCCTGAGCCTCTCCGCTCTCTCCAGGAAGGTGTGCCTGACCCTGCGGGTGAAGGAGGGCCCTACTGGGGCTCTCAGCGCCCCCTTACCCCTCAGTGGGGCCCATCCTGGACCAGATGCTCCTGGAGATCAGAGCCCCCAGCCCCCTGCCACGTCCTCCCCTAGCCCAGCGATGGGGGTCTGAGAAGGAGTAGGGTAACAGGATTCCCAGGGCCCCTGTCCCGCCCTCTGTGCCCTGCCCAGCTGGCTGCGATGAATCAGCAGCTCAAGCCTGGCCAGAGCAGCTTTACACCTGGGCTGCTGGTTGGTGAGGCTGGTGATCCAGAGCCCTCAGGAGTTGGAGGTCAGTGGAGGCAGCCTGGGGTCATGGGAGCCACAACCGCCTGTACCCGTGCCCTTCATGCCCTGGACTGCCTGTGGCACTCTACCTGCCTCCTCCAGGAAGTCCCCCAGCTGGACCCCTTATTCCCTGTGCTGGGGCCCAGGGTCCAGCAGGGTTGCCTATCAGAACACACCGCCAGATGGGGCTTGTCCCGGGGTTCTGCTCCCATCCCCCACCCCACCCCCAGGACTTGGCCCAGCCCAGTCTCCGGAGGTTCCCCAAGACTTGAGGCCCACTAGCCACACTGACCAGGCCCCTGGAGGCCCACTTCCCAGATAGTCTCCACCACCCAAGACCCAGGGCAGGGGCACAGAACGTCCCTTTCCTGGGGACACCCTGCCTGATCTCTGTCAGGACCGGGTCGTTGTCCCCCCCGCCCCCCAAGCTGCAGTGAGCAGGAGGTCGAGGGCTGAAGTGGCCCTCTTTCCCCTTAACCAGGAAAAAGAGGAAAGGTATTTCCCCCACCCAGCCCAGCCCAGCCCAGCCCTGGGAAAGGCCTTTGCTTCCAGAGACCCCCAACTGTCACCCAGTGGCCACCCTGACCACTGAGTTGAGGGGCAGTTCTGCATCTGGACCAGACGCCGAGCCTGCCCAGTGAATCCCCAGCAGGGTAGCTGGGGTCAACTTGAGGGTGGCCATCATACCCTGTCCCCCTCAGAGCCCACTGGCCTGGGTGGAGGACTCACCCCCACCCCCCACCCCCAGGTCTGCCTGGGTTCTCAGGGAGCAGGGAGCGTGCCGAAGATGGCTGCTTGTCTCACTGGGGGCCCAAGGGATCTGGCCAGTGCAGGAGTCTGGTGGGGCCAGGCCAGCTGGAGGTGTGATGCTCGGAGAGCCAGCCACCCACTCCAGGCAGTGGGGAAAGAGGGGCAGCAGGGCTTGGAGCCTGGGACACAAGCTGAGCCAGAGGGAACCCCCTTTATTGCGTAACCCTGGTGCAGGCACTTGACATTCAGACCTCCCTGGTCTTGCCAGGTGATAGGTCACCACCTGACAGAGACTCACACCCACAACACGTCTGGAGCAGGGTCCTGGCCCAGAGGTTAGTAGGTCAGCTCCATTCTGGAAGGAGGGAAGATGAGGGTGGACCCTCAGACCAGAGCACCCCAGCTCTCGGCTGCAGGGCCAGAGGGCGGGCAGAGGTAGAGCAGGCAGAGGCATCTTCATCAGTCAGGGCCACAGTCCAGGGTCAAGTCCAAGTCCACATCGGTGTGTGCCCTCCTTCTTAGCATCCTCAAGGTGGGAAGCCCCGTGCCCGTCAGCTCCCCAACTCGCACTGTGCCCCATGCCTTGGAAACCTGGTGCAGCTCCCACACCCAAGGAGAGAGCCCCGGCTCTTGCTCCCGTGGTTGCCCCTTCTCCACCGGAGCCCCTCTCATGATGCACAGTGGGATCTCAGCCCCACCCCCACCCCCCAGGCATCAGGAACAGTGGGGAGGGGAGGCAATAGTACAGCCACCCCAATTCAGGCCTCCTGCCAGTCAGGCCGCTGGCCCTCGGGCGCCCACAGGTGCACATACGCCTGCACGTGCCTTGAAGTGCGTCTGTGCCACACACAGCGCAGGTGAACATGCAGCTCAGGTGGATTTTCTGATTTGACACCTGGCAGCTGTCCCCGCCCTGCCACCCCCCAGGAAAGACCCTGCTCAGCTCTCAGACCATCAGGTCTCAGCACTTCCCAGGGTAGTGCCCGCTTCCAGGCTGAGCAGCTCTGACCGCTGCGACCCCTCCCTTTGAGTCTCCAGGGGGCCCTGATGCCAACGCACCACCCCCAGAGACAGCCCTCCAGGACTAAGGAGATCTGGAGACAGACACACTCCCCAGGAGAAACCCATACGGCATCCAGTCCCCCAGTGAGGTCCCAAAGGAGACCCAGGGTGCTGGGAGGGGGTAGAAGGACGGTGGAAGTCCAGGACACTCTGCCCAGACTCCTACACCCGTGGCTCGCACACATGCACACTTGCATGCATTCACATGTGTGTGCAGACTCCCCACAAGGAGCAGTGTGCAGACGGGGCGTTCCTGGCCAGGGATCAGGGTTGCCGGGCCATCAAGGTGTTGGGAGGCGCCCCTTGTGGGACCCCAAATGCTGAGGAAGGGGGGCAGGCAGGCTCAGGCCCCTCGTTGAGTTTGAGTGTGGTGACGGGCAGCATTCCCCTCACTGCCCAGTCTCCTGGCTGCCCAGCGGCTGCGGTGGCTCTGGGGGCTCGAAGCTCAGGACTTCCTGGTAGGTGAGCTCTGAGGGGTGAGGGGAAGGAGGGGAAAGGGTGAGCTCATGCTGCCACCAGCCCAGCACCCCTGCCCAGCTTATCTGGTGCCAGCTACCCAGCCCAGGACCACCGTCCTCCGAGAGAAGCCTCAGCTCCTGGGCCTCCTTCCAGAGGCTACCCTGTGCTGCCCCCAAGCCTCCGCTGGACACACCCAACCTCATCTCTAGCTGTCCCACCAGGGCATCGGGCGGGGGTGGGGGGGGGTGCGGAGTGTTGTCCCCGCTCCCAGACCCCCTGGGGAGGAATGCAACCCTGGGATCCTGGGCTCCACCTCCCTCCCCAGCCCTCCTCAGGCCCACCCTTCCACTCCTCCACCGTGCGCTCCTTGGCCTCAACACTTTCGTCATAGGGCTCTGCCTCGGGCTCATCGTCCGGGTCGTGGTACTGGCTGAAGTAGGCATGGGCCAGGGCCTCAGCTGCACTGATCCTCTGGTCACTGTCCAGCACCAGCATCCTTCCCAGGAGGTCCACGGCTGCAGAGGAGCCAGTGTGGGGGGTCAACTCTGCATCCAGGGCCAGACATGGAGCCCAGCCCAGACCCCAAGCCCATCCTCACCCAGGGGGTTGGCTCCACGGAAGATGCTCCTGAGGTCCTTCTGGGGCATGGGGGGCAGGGACTGGATGTACATCCGGGCCTGGGAGCACATGGGAAGGGCCTGAGGGGGCTGCTCACCCCCCCACCTCCCCTAGCCCTAAGCCAGAAGGGGGCTTGCCAAAAGAAGCCCCAGACTCATTCACTCCCACAGGCCTGGGCAGGGGCATGCACAGACCAGAGACCTCCCCTGCTTTGGACCTGGGGGCTCCAGCTCCTCGCCTGGGCCTCAATGCCTGCAGGACCTGGCACGGTGCCGCCCACCGTCCTTGGCCATGGCGCTGTTTGTCGGTGCTGCAATTCTGCCCTCGCCGTCCCTCGTGCCAGGAATGTCTTCCCTGTTCACCTGTGTCCCCCTGAAGGGGTCGGGCATCTTCCTTGGGCTCTGTTCCACTGTGACCTCTGCCCCCACATGGTGCTCAGTCTATCCCCACACTGCCCCTTCCTCCAGAGTGCCAGGGGCTTGGTCAGCAGAGGGAGCTGGTGTCCGGTGACTCACATGTTCCGAGGATATCTTCGCCAGAACCTCGGGGCTTGGTGTGCCCACCACCTCCATGATGCGCTTCAGCTGGTCAATGTCTGCCCGGCTCAGGAAATGACCACTGGCCAGGCACGGACCCTTCCCGGGCCCCAGAAGCCAGATCTTAGGGCACTGCCCAGATCCTGCTCTCCTACAGCTGGGGACAGTGAGCCCAACGTGGCACGCTGTGGGGCAGAGGAGGCAAGACTGGCCAGAAAGGGCCAGAGCCCCCCTCCCTCGACCCTACCCCACAGAGGGGCCCCTGGTTCAACGTTCCTTCCCAACTTGGGCCAAGGATACAGTCGTTTCCTGGGAAGAGGGCCTTTCCCTGGAGCAGCTCGGCCATGATGCAGCCCACAGACCAGATGTCCACTGTTGAGGGAGGGTCTCCATCAGTCCCCAGTTCCTCCTCAGAGAGCTAGTGGGCTGCTTGGCCTGTGCCAGCCCAGTGGCCTCTCAGTCACACCCAGGCCCAAAGACAGCAGGCCCTTCCTCCTCCACACAGCCCTGGGCAGGCAGAGGGGTTAGCCCATGACCCAACATGCTCGGCCCCTCCAAAGGTCTGTTTTTGAATGCTGGTCCCAGACCTTTCCTGTCCCCCAAGACAGGACACACACCTCCAAAGTCCTTGGCTTTTGGCCCCACCCCCACTCCCCTTCCACAGGCCCTGGCGTGAGCTCTGCCTACCCACCCCGGTCCCACGTGGCTGCTCCCATGCGGGTTGACATCACCTGTCTGGTTGTAGTGCATCCAGTTGAGCATGATCTCAGGTGCGCGGTACCAGCGTGTGGCCACGTAGCCAGTCATCTCCTCGTCAGCCTGGCGTGCTAGTCCAAAGTCCAGGATCTAGAGCGGCCACCAGGGTTGTCAGCGCATGCCCCTCCCCGCATACCCCTCCCCACTGCCCAGTGCACCCCACTGCTCACCCTAAGCTCGCAGTCCTCATTCACCGCCACGTTGCTGGGCTTCAGGTCCTGCAGGGCAGGTAGGGCGTGAGCGCAGGAGGAGTCCTGCAGCCAGGCCTGCAGGGAACCGGCCCCTCACCCCTCGGCCACACCTACCCGGTGGATGATCCCTGCCGAGTGGATGTACTGCGAGGGGGAAGGTGCAGCGTCAGGTTCCCGTGCTGCCGTGCCCCCGTGCCCCCCGCGTCTCCCACGTCCCCCCCCCCAAGCCCACCTTCAGCCCGCGCAGCAGCTGGTAGACAAGGAACTGGACGTGCTCGTCGCTCAGCGCCTGGCACTTGACAATGTTGTTCAGGTCGGCGCCCATCAGGGTGGTCACCAGGTACCTGGGTGGGTCAGGGATCAGGACTGGCCCGCCAACCCCTCCCCGAGCACACTCCCGGGCCACCCATCCTCTGGCCTCTCACACTTCGCTGAAGTCCTCGATGGAGGTGGCCGGCGTGAAGACGTCCAGTAGCCCGATGACCTGGGCGGGAAGGGAAGTCAGGACTCGGCCTTGCCCACAGCGGCCCTCAGGCTGTGCATCCCCCACGGGGAGCCCCCAGCTCACGTTCTCGTGCTTCAGGTGTTTGAGCAGCCGCAGCTCGCGGTAAGTCCTCCGCGCGTGGATCAGCGACTGGAAAGGCCGCGACAGCTTCTTCACCGCCACCTTCTGGCGCAGCCGCGCGTCGTAGGCCGAGCTGCAAGGCGGGCGAGTGAGGCGCCGGTGGAGGGGCCCAGCCGGTATGCGGCCCCAGGCCTGTCCGGGCTGAGGGCCGAGGGGCAAGGGTGGGGTCCACGCACAGACGCTCCCAGCAGCTGCTCCTCCACCCCTGCTCGCCCACTGCTCTCCTCCCTCTGCGCCTTTGCTCTAAGGGACTCCTTGGAGGGGGCTGGACCGCCGGCCACCAGCAGGTGCGCCTCTGCGGGGCCCCAGGGGCGAGAAGGTGACTGGCACGTGGGAGGCACTCTGACGACAACACTCCCAAACAACACTCCCACGAAACCTCTTCTCACCGCCCCCTCGGGTCCTGCTCCTTCTCAAGAGGCAGCTCACCCTCCACTCCACCCCTTCACCCCCAGCATTCCCATATCTGCAGGGGCCCAGCCTGCCCCACCTGGGAGCCCCAGGGCAGGACCTGGATCTTCTCTTGTCTGCTCCTCCCAATGACTCTCGCCCCCAACTCAGCACAAGGCGGGGGTGGGGGAGTCTCTGCCAGCCAGCCTGGAAATAACACGTCTGGGAAACAGCCCCTGGCATGTCCCCAAGCAAACGGTCCTCCTCCTCCCCCATGGGCCTGTGGGTGCAGGAGACTCCCCGAGGGGTTCTAGAGCTGCCTCCAAAGACCCTGAACCCCCAAAGCCTCTGAATATTCAAAATACGGAGGAAAAACGGGCCACAGGTTTACTGCATCGTTTCTAACAGTGAGAAACTGGCCAGCAGGGAATGTCCAGCAGTGAGTGGTATCTGGACCCACAGAACATCTCCCCTTGCCCAACCTCACTCCCCAGGGGCAGAGCCTCCACCTCTACACCAGCCTCCAACTTATCTACTCTTCACAGGAGCCCAACAGTCACTGGCATTATCTTCAAACACACATGGTCCAGCCACTCCCTACCCTCCCACCCTCCCATTGCCCTCAGGATGGGGGCCCTGCTGAAAGCAATGCCTTTGCACAGGCTGTTCCCCCTCACTGATGCTCATCCCTTCCCCGAAGAGTGAGTGGAGCCTCAGGCCCCTCCCCATGCCCACACCGCCCCCGGGAGCAGCTCCTGCAGGACAAGGGATGCTCACGGGCCCAGAGGGTGGTGGAGGAAAGCCAGCTCTGAGCCTGGGGCATCTGTGCCCCTTCCCCTAGCCTATGACCTGCTGGTGAAGGTCCAAGTCACTCCTTGGATTCCCCCTCCAAGGATTGTAGGGGGAATGGTAGGTGTCTCTGCTCAGCCCTAAGCCACAACCAGGCTGGGAAGTAGGGGAGTAGCCCCTCATATGGGGCAGCAGATCCTTTTGCCCAATTGCATCTGCCCAGTCCAGCGACAGGGAATTGGCACTGGGTTGCCAGCCTCATCTGAGGAGCGAGAGAGCCCAGCAGGGGTCATCACTAGCATAGGGGCCATGCTGAGGTAAGGGCACTAGAGACTCAGGCCACCTTTGGGGAGGGTGACACTCCCTGGGAACTCCCAGAAGGTTATTCTGGGCCGGAGGCAATTCCAGCAGGGGCTCTGTCAGATCCCCCGGAGGGCCACTCACACATTGTCTCTGACCCTCTTCCTGCCTTTGAGTTCTTAGAGATGAAGATGGAGGCCTGCCTGAGGTTCCTGATGGCTGGCAAGTGACAGTGTGACATCGGAGGCCCCTGGGACCCCAAGCCCCTGCTCCAGGCTCCAGCACTGGGCCATGGGAGGGGATCCAGGAAATCCCACTCAACCTTCTGCCAGAGCCTGGACAACACTCCACCCCCAGCCCTCCCTGCCTCCCCACCCCCATGACCCCACAGAGGCCAGCCCCACTGGGTTCTGGGGGGAGCACCTCTCAACATCCACTCCCAGGATGAGCCTCACTGTCAACATTGCAGCTGCAACCGGGACTCCCGGTAACCACTGAGCCCAAGCGCCCTCCCCCAAACAGAGGCTGCCCCGAATCTGCCTCCCCCCGCCCCTCCCCAGTCTGTCGTCTGTCTAGGCCCCAGGGCCTAACTCCCTGGCTGTGATCTGAGCTGTCTTGTTTGGGGCAAAAGTGGGGTGGGGTGGGGTGTAGACCCCCCTAAGGATTGTAGGGGGAATGGTAGGTGTCTCTGCTCAGCCCTAAGGCGCAACCGGAGTCTGAGACCCCTTGGAAAACCAGAGAGGGGGCAGGACCCACGCGGGAGGCCATCCAAAGCGGAGGAAAGTACCCAATTAGGGCGGGGGCATCTGCCTGACCCTTGACCGGGGCACCGGGCTGCGTGCTCGGACGTTTAGGGGCCCGGGAGACCTCCCCTTTCGCGGGCTGTGACGCCGCAGGATTCGGGCCTCGCGGGGGACGCTCCGGGTGGAACGGAGTGGGAAGACGACCCCTCTCCCTGCCCGGGAGCGGCGTCCAGTAGAAAGTTTCCTTCACGCCCCCCGCCCCTCATTCATTTCTCCGATCCGCGTAGCGCCGGGGGGGCGGAGGCAGAGCCAGGCCCCTCCCCACGCCGGGA